TCACATCATCGGCAGCGTCGAGCGTGATGTCGTCCGTCGATGTCAACAGGATATCACCCGTACCGGCGCTCGTCAAGCTCACATCGGAATTGATCGCAGAGGTCAAACTCACGGCGGCGTCAGATGTCACGGTGAAAGCACCATTCACGGTCAAGTCGCTGCTCATCGTCACGTCGCCGGTGAGCGTCGTAGCGCCAGTCACACCCAGCGTCCCGTTCACGTCCAGCGTGTTCCCAGGGATCGTCGTCCCGATGCCCACCTGACCCGTCGAGTCCACGGTCACGCGCGTGCTACCACCCGTGCTCAGCGTCAAGTCCTCCCCGCTCACGGAGTTCAAAGTCACAGCGCCAGTGGTGTCCCAGCTCAGGATGCTCGTCGAGTCCTGCTTCAGAGCGAGCGTCTTGCTCGCCGCCGTGGACACGACCACGTCATCGCCGCTCAGCGTCAGATCCTGGCTGCTCTTCGCGCTCAAAGTCACAGCGCCAGCGTCCGTCCAGCTCAAAATGCTCGTCCCGCCCTGCGCCAAAGACAAAACACCGGCGGCATCGATCGTCACATCATCGGCAGCGTCGAGCGTGATGTCGTCCGTCGATGTCAACAGGATATCACCCGTACCGGCGCTCGTCAAGCTCACATCGGAATTGCTCGCAGAGGTCAAACTCACGGCGGCGTCAGATGTCACGGTGAAAGCACCATTCACGGTCAAGTCGCTGCTCATCGTCACGTCGCCGGTGAGCGTCGTAGCGCCAGTCACACCCAGCGTCCCGTTCACGTCCAGCGTGTTCCCAGGGCTCGTCGTCCCGATGCCCACCTGACCCGTCGAGTCCACGGTCAAGCGCGTGCTACCACCCGTGCTCAGCGTCAGGTCCTGCCCGCTCACGGAGTTCAAAGTCACAGCGCCAGTGGTGTCCCAGCTCAGGATGCTCGTTGAGTCCTGCTTCAGCGCGAGCGTCTTGCTCGCCGCCGTGGACACGACCACGTCATCGCCGCTCAGCGTCAGATCCTGGCTGCTCTTCGCGCTCAAAGTCACAGCGCCAGCGTCCGTCCAGCTCAAAATGCTCGTCCCGCCCTGCGCCAAAGACAAAACACCGGCGGCATCGATCGTCACATCATCGGCAGCGTCGAGCGTGATGTCGTCCGTCGATGTCAACAGGATATCACCCGTACCGGCGCTCGTCAAGCTCACATCGGAATTGCTCGCAGAGGTCAAACTCACGGCGGCGTCAGATGTCACGGTGAAAGCACCATTCACGGTCAAGTCGCTGCTCATCGTCACGTCGCCGGTGAGCGTCGTAGCGCCAGTCACACCCAGCGTCCCGTTCACGTCCAGCGTGTTCCCAGGGCTCGTCGTCCCGATGCCCACCTGACCCGTCGAGTCCACGGTCACGCGCGCGCTACCACCCGTGCTCAGCGTCAAGTCCTCCCCGCTCACGGAGTTCAAAGTCACAGCGCCAGTGGTGTCCCAGCTCAGGATGCTCGTTGAGTCCTGCTTCAGAGCGAGCGTCTTGCTCGACGCCGTGGACACGACCACGTCATCGCCGCTCAGCGTCAGATCCTGGCTGCTCTTCGCGCTCAAAGTCACAGCGCCAGCGTCCGTCCAGCTCAAAATGCTCGTCCCGCCCTGCGCCAAAGACAAAACACCGGCGGCATCGATCGTCACATCATCGGCAGCGTCGAGCGTGATGTCGTCCGTCGATGTCAACAGGATATCACCCGTACCGGCGCTCGTCAAGCTCACATCGGAATTGATCGCAGAGGTCAAACTCACCGCGGCGTCAGATGTCACGGTGAAAGCACCATTCACGGTCAAGTCGCTGCTCATCGTCACGTCGCCGGTGAGCGTCGTAGCGCCAGTCACACCCAGCGTCCCGTTCACGTCCAGCGTCTTCCCAGGGCTCGTCGTCCCGATGCCCACCTGACCCGTCGAGTCCACGGTCAAGCGCGTGCTACCACCCGTGCTCAGCGTCAAGTCCTCCCCGCTCACGGAGTTCAAAGTCACAGCGCCAGTGGTGTCCCAGCTCAGGATGCTCGTCGAGTCCTGCTTCAGAGCGAGCGTCTTGCTCGCCGCCGTGGACACGACCACGTCGTCCCCAGACGACAACATCAGGTCGTGCCCACTCACGGAGTTCAAAGTCACAGCACCGCTCGCGTCCCAGCTCAGGATGCTCGTCGAGTCCTGCTTCAGAGCGAGCGTCTTGCTCGACGCCGTGGACACGACCACGTCGTCCCCAGACGACAACGTCAGGTCGTGCCCACTCACGGAGTTCAAAGTCACAGCGCCATTGGTGTCCCAGCTCAGGATACTCGTTGAGTCCTGCTTCAGCGCGAGCGTCTTGCTCGCCGCCGTGGACACGACCACGTCATCGCCGCTCAGCGTCAGATCCTGGCTGCTCTTCGCGCTCAAAGTCACAGCACCATTGGTGTCCCAGCTCAGGATGCTCGTCGAGTCCTGCTTCAGAGCGAGCGTCTTGCTCGACGCCGTGGACACGACCACGTCATCGCCGCTCAGCGTCAGATCCTGGCTGCTCTTCGCGCTCAAAGTCACAGCGCCATTGGTGTCCCAGCTCAGGATGCTCGTCGAGTCCTGCTTCAGAGCGAGCGTCTTGCTCGACGCCGTGGACACGACCACGTCATCAGCCGCTCAGCGTCAGGTCCTGCCCGCTCACGGAGTTCAAAGTCACAGCGCCGCTCGCGTCCCAGCTAAGGATGCTCGTCGAGTCCTGCTTCAGAGCGAGCGTCTTACTCGCCGCCGTGGACACGACCACGTCGTCACAGCGCCGTTTGCGTCGGCGCTGAATCGCACGGTGCCGGAGCCACTTCCTTGACGAATCGATACTGGCACCGTCGTTGAGGTACTCCCGACATACCGGCGTCCAAGGTGAGAGTGCTCGTCGGAGTGCCCGTTATGTCTTCGGCGTCCAAACCCGTCACTGCCGGTGCGCGAACTTCTTGTTGAAACATACCATCCTGAGTTGTAGATACCTGAACGTAGCTCGTGTAAGTGCTCGCGTACACCAAGCTACTCGTCGTGACCAAGTCGCCGTGCACGGTTACGTCTCCGAAGATGTCGGTTTGCACTTGTTTGTTCGCGCTCTCGCCGATGCGGACGAAAGACGCCGCATTCGGCGCAATGTGCACGATGCCCTCGTAAGTGGACGCCAAAGTCGTGCTGTCGCCAGCGTCGATGACGACGTCGCCGCCTGTGCCAGATGCGGACGTACCACCTCGAAGATACAATGCCCCGCCGTTACCCACGGTGGCGGCTCCCGCTTCAATCGTTACGTCACCGCCCGCGCCAGTGCCTCCGGTGCCACCTAATATCGTTAACGCCCCGCCAATCACGCCGCCGCCAGCCGAAAGACTCATCGCGCCGCCAGTCGTCGAACCGGCACCAGCCGTCGCCGTAATAGCACCGCCAGTCGCCGTCGCCGCGCTCGCATCAAACGCTTTCAGCGTAAGCGCTTGACCACTCTCAGACGCGACAGTCACCGCACCGGCCGCATTCCAACTCACACGAGGATCAGAACCTTGGTCAAGGGACAATGTGCCAGAGTTCGAAACAGTGTCGGACGCAATCACTACGTTACCATTCGCGCTCACGGACACATCATCCGCTGACGTCAACAGGATATCACCCGTACCGGCGCTCGTCAAGCTCACATCGGAATTGCTCGCAGAGGTCAAACTCACGGCGGCGTCAGATGTCACGGTGAAAGCACCATTCACGGTCAAGTCG